CAAAGTGTACAAGTTCCAGCCCATGCCAAATGCAGAGCAGGTTGTTAACTCACTGTTGCAGCTGTGCAAGCAAAACCAGATTCAAAATAAGATAAGTACATGCTTCAGCTGTTTGCAAGGGGGAGGGGACCAAGCACTATATAGGAACCTTGGCTAAAGCTGAATGTTGGCATGTCTGTAGAATAAAAGATACATTAGGGGAGAGTAGGGATTTTCCTTTTTTTATAGGCTACCCTTTTTTCTCGAAATGTTTCAATACTTTTGCCAGGTAATGCAACAAAAAAAGACCCCTTGTCCTGCTCTCCCCCGACCCTTACACTCCTCCCTTCCAAAAAAATGTAGTTTTGTGTTTGTCCAGGGATCTGAGTCATCTGAGTTTGTTCAGTGGTCTGAATATTGAACATAATTGTGAAAATCCTGTGAAAGCATTGCAACATGCTCTGTTCATGACCTTGCAGTGATTTAACACTCAACCCCTTGTTTACACCTCCCCCACCCCCAGTTTGTTAAATCATGGCTCAGGTTTCCCAAATCAGTTTAAACTGGAAAATTTTCTCAAGGTTTATTTCTTTACTAAAAGTAGTGGATGTATTCTGATAAGTGTTGTCTTATAAGTAATATAATTTGAGCTGGAAATCTTTTTCTGCAAAGTGAGTTGATCTGTAGTGCTTCTAGTCAGCATTTTGTACGGTTACCAGAGCACGGCCTGAAGTTGTTTACCCTGTTACAATAAAAAGAGTGGTGTGTGATTTTTTTTAATATGGAAGATACTTTTAATCTTTCCTCCAATTTAATAATGAAAGAAAACACTCTTCTCCTAAATTTGAGCACATCAACTTTCCTTGTCAAGCATTAAGGTGTTGGAATGTTTGAGTGAAAAAACAAGTGATGAAGGAATTAAAACAGGTGTACAAATAGCAACAGCAATTTGTCTTCCTCCCTCAAAGATAGAAATCAGTGTTCATTTATTAAGTGAAAATTGGGTTCTCTTTTCTTAGAAGACATTGTAAGTAGGACTGTCACAATACAGGGTTAAAATATATAGTTAATGAATAAAAGATTATTGAATATTTTCATTTTGATGCATAATTTATGTGAAAGAGTTCCAAAGACAATTTAAACTATGTTTGGAAATAGTTTGAGTCCATTGTTTGATATTGTAATTCAGTTTTAAGAAAAAAGTCTAGTAGCTTTTAAAAACTGGTTATAAATTAGATTGAAAATTTAATATATTGTTATGTGATCTGTATATTTCTCATATATAAAAATAAATGTATTAGCTTTGTTTAATCAGTATGCAAATATATTTAAAGTAGAATATGACAGCAGGCAGTTCTGTAAACTCTTCATTGTCATCTTGATGGCTATGTAACATACTGTGATAGTTCAGAATGAAGCCCATAGTGACTTGTACATCCAGCTGCAACAAATGAACATGTTTTACTTCCTACTATCATATTATGTTTACAGCACTGCAGACTGGCTGTCATCAGTGAAGCTTGGATGAAAACTTTTTGGTGAAACAATGTAACTGCTAATGTGGTGAGAATATCTTGGTAGTTTTATTTCTCTTAAACTGGTGTCCTTTTGTCTGATTGCTCGATGCAGAGTTCTAACTCTGTTTTACATCTAAATTAGTTACAAAACAAGAGCTGGAGTATGAGCTGCCAGTTTTTTAAGGCTACCTTCTTTCCATCTTTCAGATTAATGAGCAAAAAAATGTAGTCAGGGCCTTGTCCCTGCCCATGACTCCTTGAAAATCACACTGCGGTGAATTGCAGCAATTCAACTGCTGTTCTTTGCTGGTAGGTTTGGACACACATCAAGGTTTTGGGTGAGGTGGTTGTTGTTGCTCCTGCCTACTGAGCATGTGGGCTGGATTGTACTGCTGGTATTAGTGTAGTTTCTGCGCCACTGACTGAAGATCTGCCCCTACTGTAGGTGATGTGAAGTGGTGTGTGCCTGGAGCCTCCTGTATATCAGCTGGCACTTGAGGGAGGGTAGTGCTTTTAGAGGACAGAGCATGTGCATGCTGAGGCATAAGGAAGAAGTAGCGGAGGTCTGTGCTAGTGTCATGTTCTTTTTTGTGATTCCTCAGGGGCTGTGGAGCCAGTGAGCAAGCGACTGATGGGTGTGCATTAGTGCTTAATAAACTTTTGTCACTAAACTAAACATCCGTCATTACACAGGGCAGTCTGATGTTGCAAACCCATCTTTCATCTTGCAGCATGTTCCTGCCCAGAGGCTCACTTTTGCTGACCAGAAGGGATATTAATTTTTCCAGCACTTCCCTTTGCTAGCAAAGAGCTACCAATCACTTGCCAGGTCTCTGGGGAGACCTTATAGTGGCCTTCCAGTACTTGAAAGACACCTACAGGAAACTTGCGGAGGGGCTTTTCATCAGAGAAGATATTGATAGGACAAGGGGTAATGGTTTTAAACTGAGAGAGGGGAGATTTAGGTTGGATGTTAGGAAGAAAATCTTCCCTATAAGGATGGTGAGGAACTGGAATGGGTTGCCCAGGGAGGTTGTTGATGCCCCATCCCTGGAGGTTTTTATGGCCAATTTGGACAAGGTTTTGTGCAACCTGGTCGAGTGGAAGGGTTCCCTGCTCATGGCAGGGCGGGTTGGAACTTGATGATCTTTAAGGTTCCTTCCAACCTCACTGATTTTGTGATTCTATTCTATAGGTTATGTGCCACAGAATACACCTTTTGTATTGCTGAGTTGCTTTTTTGAGTTATCAGGATTTGCTCTTCTGCCAACCTCTTTGTTCAAAAGGAAATTCTGGAGTATTTTGTCTTCTCCGTCTGGGTCATATCACTATCCCAGTTTGACAGTGTTACTGACTTTCATGGGCATGAGTCCAGTGTGACACAGCACTGTGGCTTTCAGGTCATTTGCAGTAATAATTTGCTTTGGACATGGTGCGTGTACGTTTTTAGAGTAATTCTGAGCTACCTCATGTTGATATCATACTTGCATTGTAAACATAGCAGAAGTCAGTAACACCTGAAGGACTTAATGGTGGTGAGATCACTTAAGGCACAGTGTGGGTGAGCAGGTGAACTGTGGTCTGGCTCTCCCAGGGTTACAGAGGGAATTTTATTGCATGTTATTTATGTTCAGCAAGAAATAGTAGTAATTGGCTAATAGCTATTTAACCTGAAGGAGGACAGCCAAGAGGACCTAACTGGCTAAAAGCTTTCTGAATTAAGTGAGAGACCTTTCATAGAGGCTTGTTCTTATAAACTGAAATAGTGTTCATGTAGTTAACATTATTGGTGAAGTTTGTTTGCTAGATGAAAGTACACAGTCCTTTTCTTCCATTTGCTGTTCATGATAAATGAAAATTCCATGATAGGGTCATTAACTGCTTCAGTAGAAGACATGCAGCCATGTGTCACTAATATTATGTGGGCAAAAAAAATATATCTAGATAGAGGAAACTCAACTTAGGCAGACAGAGGAGAAAGAAGAGTTCTCCTCCTTCTTGATTTGTCTTTGTAGGCAAGCCTTTTCTTGTAGCAAACTAATGATTCCCTCAGTGGCAGGACTCTGCTAATTTATTTTGATCTCTAGGAAGTGCTTTCTGTCTCCTCTTGTCTTTTAGCTGGTTGCTCTGTGATCTCTTTATTGTTTCTGAGTAACCTGCAGCCTCTGGTATCCTTGTGGTGACACTCTTGCCTGCCAAATCTTGCATCTGCTGAAGAAGCTTTCTTGGCTTATTCCAAGGGATCCCACTCTTGTTGCTGTATGGGAATGTATTGCCACATAGTGAAGGTAGAAAGAAAACCAGTTCTTTGTGGACAGTGGGGACTAGGCAGCCACCAGTCTGGTAGGGGAGGAAGAATATTATTTAGGAAGTGAACACTTTTTTCTGGTATACTTTTTGTAGCAGGATCATCTGGCTCTAATTAAAAGATTCCAAGAAATGTGGTTTTGATGGACTTCTCACTCATAAGCACCACTGCTATAAAGCAGAGTAATCAAATTTATCATAAGGATTTCACTCTAAACAGAGTGGAAGTGTGAGCTAACACTTTCTCTGTATGTATCAGCAGGCCTTGCAGGGAGATGCGGAGGATTAAAAATGTTTTCTGTTGTTTTTTGACCATGTGAAGGAAAGCTGTCTGCTTCCAGTCTTCTTTACCCCTTTTTGTGTTAGAAAAATGCTTTTAGTTGCTATGTAGTATATTTGCCTGATGCTTTCTTCCAAGCAGGTAGTCATTGTCAAGGAGTATCTAGGAGTATATCTAGGAGGAGATTCTAGTCTTCATCTTTTCTGTGTGTGCTGGCAGTTTTAAGTGTGTTTGATCTTGGGGCTTACTTGCTGTAGAAGAAGCCCTAGTGAAAGTGTAGTGGCTTTATGCCTCTCAAGTGCCTGGCAAGTTAGGTATCCAAATGCTTTGATTATCTGGGGTTTATAATTGAAGTACAGTGAGTTTACGGTTCAGGAAACAGGTTTGGTGCTCATAGTGTGTTTTTGTCTGAATGAGTGAGAGAATCATATTCTTCTAAATTTGACCCCAAGATAAATTTCCTCTCCTATGTGTCAGTGTATGAGTACTGTTGCATCCTGTACATGGCTTTGGATTATTCTTCATTGGCTGTGTATCTGGCAGTGGCTTTGTGTTTTCACACAGACTGGTGGACCCTGGAAGAATTGCTGATTTTAGCAGCATAAACCCTCCCTTTTGTTTCTGTGGTACGTTGTGCAATGATGGGACTTGAGGCAGCACTGGTATCACTTTTCTGAGAAGGTATTCCAGGCATTAATGATCTGTACTGGAAGAGAAGATAATTGTCACTGGCTCCTTCAAACTTGGGCAGCAAACCAACTCCAAGCATACAGGAGTACAGTTTTGGAGATGGTGTGCTGTTCAGATAAATGGAAGCATGGATGAATTACTCATGATTGATGCTCTACTTGAATTGTGAATGATCTTGACTTTTTTTAAAATGCATGATAAATAACTTCATCTTTTCTTTTTAGTTGATGTCCATCAGCGTATTAGGTGTTTCTGCTTGGATGAGAGACTACCTGAATAATGTTCTCACTTTAACCGCAGAAACAAGGTAAAGCTTTCCTTAAAACTGTTAATCTGTGTGGGTGATTGATTGTGGTTTTTTATATGGCAAGTTTTCTAATTAGGGTTTTTAGAAGTAAGAAGCCTTCAGTTGAGCTAATTGTTCTTTTGGTGAAAGGTGTGTTTTTGCAATCATTTCTGACATCAGTTGAAATTAGAGTAAGGGCAAAGTTATCAATTCCATCTTGTTTTATTCTTGTGCCTTTCTCTTCTGACAGGGATCAATTTTTGGCCCAGTGCCAACATATAATCATATTATATTACTGTTTATTTTTCAATAGTTTATTCAAGCTAGAGATTTAGGAATGCTGTTAGTTTTATTACAACAGTGCTTATGAGCCCTAGTGATAGAACAGGGCCTCATTGTGCTACATATGGTGCAAGTGCAAGACAGGAAGATTGCCTGCACTCCAGAGAGATTTCAGATGATACTTTCTGGTACTCAGATGCAGCATTTGACTTTAAAAGCGTGTAGAAGAGATTTCTGTGAAAGGTACTGGAAATAAGACATCTGCTAATCCATCGTTTTTGTTTCAGTGGCTATAGGACATTTTTCTTCTGGATCATTTTGGTGTGATTATGGTTTTTTTTACTATGGTTCTGATTGGTTATAGGGTGGAGGAGGCTGTCATTTTGACTTACTTTCCTGTGGTCCACCCGGTCATGATTGCAGTCTGCTGCTTCCTCATCATAGTTGGAATGCTGGGCTACTGTGGAACAGTCAAAAGAAATCTGTTACTCCTTGTCTGGGTACGTTTCATAACCTCTAAAACCAGCTAACTTTTTTTTTCTTCCAACAGTTTAGGAAAAGTTTTGATCCACAGGCACAGATAAATACTGATTATTTTTTATTACTCTGTTGAGTTATGATATTGGTGAGGAATTGTAATTGCAAAGCACACAGTAGGAAAGAATTTATTGCCCAGACTGCATTATACTGTGACTGAAAGACAAGCAGTGTCTCATTTGCAAAAATCCACTTAATTTAGTAGAGGAGTTGCTGAAGGGAAAAATAACTCAAACTCTTAAGTAGCAGTAATTATAGGAACATGAGTCTGCTCTGAAATGAACCCTTATACTACTGTTTTGGCTTTTGGCTGTGAAATAGCTAAATAACCTAGATTTTGCTTTATCCCCACAGTTGATTGTGTGTGCAAAGTAATAGCATTTGTAGCTAATTAAAGTTAATTCTGAGTGCATTCAGAAGCTTTGCCTTCTCTTAGTGCAGTTGCCTTTGGTTGTGAGCAAGTTTTAAAATAAATTCTAAATAGCCAACTTTATAATTTGGTTGGAGGCTCATGGTTGAGCCAACAGCAACTGAAAAGCAAAGGTCTCTCTTGCACAAGGCTCTGTACAGTTTAAGTGTGATGAGGCTTCAACTGTCAAGATAGCCAAATGTATTTTTCTTCATTTGGAAGTCAGTGAGTTTGGAGACAATAAAAATACCAACAGCCAACCAGAAAAAGCCTCAGAAAGCCCATTAAACTGACACCAATTTTAAAGGTTTAAAAATATTTGAACCATTGGCAGAACTGAGATCAAGGAGTGCTGTGTGCTTGTACACTGCTTAGGATCCTAGCCAGTAGGCCTTTGCAGAGTTGGGCTTTGTCTTTTAATCACAGAATAGTCATGGTGTTGTCAGCTATCTTCGGGACACCAATGGTTGGAAAGGACGTCTGAGATCACAGAGTCCAACCAAAATTACTCTGTTCCTCGTTTTTCTCCCTCCTTCCCCCCAGCAGGACAGGGGATGGGGTCAGTTCACAGGCTGGTTTTTACCACTCCTTCCTTCTCAGGAAGAAAAATTCCTTGCAGTCCTTCCCTGCTTCCCCACGGGATCCCTCCAATGGGAGAGAGTCCTCCACGAACCTCTCCTTCATGAGTCCTTCCCACGAGGTCTGGAGAAAGCTGCTCCAGCTTGGGCTTCTCACAGTCATGGGCTGCTTCGGGAACTGTCACCTCCCCTGGCGCCAGGGTCTTCCACAGCTGCATAATTCGAGTCCATTGTCCACAGAATCCAAGTCCACTGGCCAAATTCACCCCTCCTGGCGCCTTCATGGAATGCTCCACCACATTCCTCTGCGAGTGCCGGGGGACAGCTGCCATCTTGCCGTAGGTTGCAGAAAAACTTCTGCTGGGGTGCCTTCTTCCTGTTCTTCCTCATACACCACACTGCTCTGCCTATCCAGCACAGCTCTTCTTTTTCTTTAAGTGAGCTGCTCAGCTCTTATCTCAGTCCTTTCGTATGTTAATCGCAGAGGAGCATCTATTGTCCCTCTAGTGGGTTCTTCCCTGGTTTTGGGGCAGGGGGAGCTTCTCAGCTTCTTACCAGAGCCACTCCTGGGGCCCTTCCCCCACTACCAAAAATCCTGCCAAACCAAACCAGCTCACCTCCTTTCAGCTAGTTGTAGAGGGCAATGAGGTCTCCCCTCAGCCTCCTCTTCTCCAAACTAAACATCCCTAGTTCCATCAGCCACTCTTCATATGACTTACTCTCATGTGAGGATGAGCAGGATTCCAAGCAGTCTATAAGCCCAAGAGGGTGGAATAAGCAATGGACTTGACTACTGTCATTGCAGTAGGAGAAAGTGGACAGCTAAAATTCTCCAGCTCTTGAGAATATTCAGGTGTCTTATCCAAGTAGAGTTGGGCTTCTGCTGATTTTTCATTGCAGTGTGTGTTGGGTTCTCCCAAAGTGCATATGGTTGCATTTTCCTTGTGGATCTGTGCGCACGTGACTATATGACCTACACCTTACAAATTTTACACAGAATACCCAAAAAGAAGTGAGAATTTGGGTGCAATTTATGCAGCTTTTGCTTTTATCTAATAGAAAATAGTCTAACTGCAGCTAAAACCATGCTGAAGTTTTATTTTAAAATGTCTTCTTTTGTTTGAGAGGGTGGGAGTAAGCTTTATGTGAGATTTCCAGCTGAGTATCTGCAGCAGAAGTGTTTCTCAGTTGCAAGAGGACAAGTGCTGTTTCTCCTTTTGGATATTTATACAATATGAAGATTGTTCTTTCAGAGCTATGTAGTTAGGAAAATCTCTCATTTAAAACTTAATACTTCATAGTGATATAGTGATATAGTGATGCATTTTTAATTTCTAGATCTCAAACTTGAAATGTTAAAGTCAATGGGAACAAGTTCTAAGACACATTTTACTTAGTTATGATCACTTACATAAAAATAATGGATTAATGTAAGTTCTTGGCATGTAACTGTTTATCTAGTAATCTTTCTTACATACATTAAAAGGGCTTTGAACATATTTTTATATACGTAGTGAAAGTATTAAACGATACTAAACTTTATAAGCCCTTAGATTTTATATTAAGGTTAGTAGATTTTTGTCATAAAATATTTTTAATTTATGGTGGTGATGGTATTTAATGTGAATTAAAATTAATTAAAAGCCAAAAACAACTACATTGTGAAGAGCAGTGCTACCGAGTACCTGAAAAAAAAAAAGGTTCTTGTTTACAGTACAAGCCTTGGAAAAAAAAAAATCACAACTAATTAAACAGAAAGTACAATTTAAGCTTGTTACGGCCTTCAGTTTATTTAAACTGCCAGTGAAAGAAGAAATTATTTATATCTTTTAATGCCATCTGGAAATAAAGTATTGAAAGTGTGTTTAGGCAGTCAAATTACACTAAATCAAAACAAGACATTTCTATAATTTCAAGTTGCAATATTTCATTTTCAGGAGCCTGGGAAATTGCTCTTGCTAAGCAAACTGATAAGCAAAACTAAATGCTATCTTCCTAAGCATGTCATTGTCTTTGATTAATCGTTAAATGAACGCAGTCATGTTATACTACAGAAGTACACAGACCTAAGTGAATGCTTCATTCATCAGACTAATCGGAAAAGTGATGGATCAACAGAATGAGCTTTTGTACAACCAGATGAACTAAAAGAAAAGAAACTTCATGTAAAACATTAACAACCTCTTCAATCGTGCTTTTAATCTTCATTTTGAAGTACATGAACAGCCATAATGATGGCATGCAGAGATATTTGGATATAAATCTTGACGTTCCTGGCAGCATGCTAATTGCTAGTGCTAATGTTGTTAATTGGATTTTTGGAAAATCTAATAAAGCATAAGGACCATAAAAATACATATTATGGTGTTAGATATTTTTAATACACCTGAATACATAATTATTTTAATTAGTTTTTGAAACTGTTTCTTGCAATTAAATGCTTGAAGCCTTCTCAACTTCCCATGGGGCATAAATATATATTAAACTAATGTTTATTCCATTTAATAGTTTGAAAATATAACACCTCAGTTGTCTGAGGTGCAGGCTGTGGATTATTTGTGAAACCAGCATTTTAAAACTATGATAATTTATTTTTAATTGCTTCAGGAATACATTGTCCTGTGGGCATAAAGAGCCCATGTGTACCTTAAGTGACTGTAATATATTTTTGTTCTGGGTTCTGAATGGCCAGTGTCCTTATGTAAAAGTGGATTCTTCAGGTGTGGAAAATTTCTTTAAAATTCTTGCGAGGTTCTCTTGCTCTATTTTGGCAATTTAAGTATTGAAATTAATCACCTAAGATAGGTAGGTTTGTTGTCCATATGAAAAATGACTATTTTTTTTTTTGTCTATCAGGGTAGTTAACTCCCACAGTATTTGAAGGACTATCATGTGGAGCAAAGTTTGACAAATGTAAAAAAACCCCAAATGACACAAAAACCTAAACGTTTTTCACTCTATGGCTTTAATGAAATAAAATAAGATGTAATGATAAGTACAACAGGTAATTTTGATTTAGAACTATGAAGTATTTCTTAATCCTTAGGAGTCTAAAAATACGCTGTGAACACTAGAGTTAGCCAGCGTGGGAAGAGAGTGCCTGAGAGTTGTGAAGTGTTGCGTGTCCAGTGTGAGATACTCACACTTGGGCCCTGCCTTGTGTTCTGCTGCAGCTGGGGTCACCCTCTCACATTTCTGTCGTGGCTGAATTTGGTTCCTTTCGAACTGCATGAACATGGGGTGCCAGACACAGGCTCCAAAGACCCTACAAGAGAGCATGTTCTCCCTGTGTAGGCCTGTTCTATCACCTATGATTTACACCCCATCTCAAGGGACGAAGACCCAAGAGGTTTCTGATCTAGAGGAAGAAGAGAAAGGATATCTTCAGAGGGCATGATTTCTGGAGAAGACAATATGCCTTTAACTTGAAATTAGTTCCTAGAGGATTTGAGCTGTGCACTTCTTCCCTGCTTAATGCAAGATAAAGTATAGTGAGAAGCTGTTAGGTAAAGATTTAGAATGGATTCAAGCTCTATTGTAACATATTAAACAAAAAAGGGGCAGAAAAATTCTATTTGGATCTTAAAAGTTTGGTTTTGCTTTGCAAGTGTTCTTTTTACTAAATTGATATGGTTCAGTTGCCAATGAATATGTGACAGTGTAACATGAATTCTTCAGTCCTTTCTGGTTTCTTTTAAAATAATGTATGATTCACTTAGAAATTCTTATCACATGCTTAAATTAACTTAAAAAGCCTTGTGTGTTAAGTCAAATTAAATCCTCCTGTATTTTCTTAGAACCTATCATGAGAATTTTTCAGAGGTACAGAAGAAATTCAATCCCTAACTGTATTTTGTATCTAGAAGATTGCCTTTAGAAAGGATGCCCTTTCTAAAATAAAACTATATTGACCAAGTAAGTTTTAAGTTTACGGTAATTCTCTTCTAAGTAGAAGGCTTCTTTAACAGGCAAATCC